CATAAACCAAGCTAGGTTTGACCAACCAGGTTGGACAAGGCCTTGGGTGATATGGTTTAGTGTGAGGTGTCCCTGCCCATGGCAGGGGGGTTGGAACTTGATGATCTTAAGGTCCTTTTCAACCCTAACTCTTCTATGATTCTATGTGAAATACTTGGGTCTGTTAGTAAAGAAACTTGCTGCTGTGTTGCAGCTTTTAGTTCATGTACCTGAGGCTATGCACAGATACAGAATACTAATTCTTGAGGTTCCTTTACTGCACGCACTCCATTCTCAGATCATGGTCTTACTGTAAAGCTGAGGCTCTTTTGGATTACTGGATTCTAATTGTTTTGCTGAAGAAATGATCTGTAAAGCGCTTCGGTGTTGAGATGCTGAACTGAGCTCCAAAGCCTTTGTTCTATATTGGCTATAGTCTGAATTGGTCACCTTCAGATTTAAAGAAAAAGCCAAACAACACCAAAGTGAGCAACTAAACCTCAGCCGAAAAGCCCCACCACTGCAGTTGCCACCTCCACTGCTTACAAAGAAACCAGCTCCTAATAACTGTGCCAGAATCTGGCTTCTGTAAAACAACAAGTGTGCAATAGAAGCATTACTTCTGCAGTTGACAGGAATCGGGATCAGGGTAACCTGCTGCAGAGGCTTTGCTGCCCTGTTGGAAGGAGCAAGTTAGTTCAGGTAGTGGATCATGAGCAAACCTTGTCTCTGTGTGCTTTAGCAGGATTTCTTCCACCTCTGGGTTATCCTCATACCTTCACCCAGTTTTCTGTGGAAATGAGGTTTGTTCCATCTGTCTTTTCCAGAACTATAGGATTTTTTTAATGTGTTGGTTGACTGTAGTTGGATTTTCTGGAAGTTTTCTGGAAGGAAGTTCAGTGAAAATTGGGAACATTTGGGAAGGAGACTGAGTTTGAACATCAACAAGCCTGCAAGATGTGATCCTTTTTTGTCCAGTTCCTTGGCATCCTCCTAAGATAACACTTAAACAGTGGGGATGTACCCTACAAGGAGGCAGCTGCCATGGGAATTCAGTGTGTCCACATTAAAGCAATGGATCATCTTGGTATAAATGAACTTGTTTATGAGGAGTCTCATTTTATTCCTTGATTATGGGTGGATTTCTTGATTATGATAGGTGCATCTTTTGTCCTGTTGGTAAAACCTTGAACAAAAATGAGCACAGATAAGCTGGGGGAATGAGCAGCTGCTTACAGCCTGGATATAAGGGAGGAATAGTCTCTTTACTCTTGTGGGGATAAAATGGCATTTTCTTGAGCTTCTCTTCCTATGGTGTGCATATCTGGAGGTCTCAGGCTTTTTACTGGGCAAATTCATTTCCCACACGTTTGTTGTGGCTGTGGGTGCTACTTGCCCCTCTGTCAATGGACTGATGCATCCTTACCCTCACAAGTTTTGAAGTCCAGGGCAGTGTAAGAACTCACTCCCTACTGAAAAGGTCTTCCGTAGGAGAAGCCGAGCTGTATAACTCAGTACCAGGATTCTTCTCTGATTTCTGTTAGAGCAAGAGTCAGAAACATGTGGCAGGGTTATAGTTTGTTCAGTTCTGAAAGCTCACATCTACCTCCATTCTCGGTACATCGGTTTATGGTCTCTTGTTCATTGAAAGAAATTTTATTGGCATCTATTGAAACTACATTCAACTTCCTTTCTAATTCAAGACTTCTTAAGAATAAAAGCAAAATCTTTGGCAAAAATGCTAAGCGAAAATAACTATCTAATTACACTCTGAATATTAGCATTTCTTCCTATGAAGAACTTCCCTGAATTAAATATAAAGGATTTCTAAAATAATCACAGGCTTTTAAAGCCACATGTGTCACAATTTCTTCAAAACCAAATTGCCAACCTAAAATTAAACAGATCGGACTTTTACTTTATAGACTGTTATCTTGGAACAGCTGCACAGTGGAGGTGAACTGCATGTATAATTTTTACTGTGACAAAGCCATGTATTTTCAGCAACCTGTGACCATTCACTATTAAAAAACCCATTTGAAATCTAATCTTTAATTACAGATCTCTTACATGCAGATAGGACTTTTCTGAAATGTAACTGTTAATTTAAGAATTTGAGAGTTGAAGCATTGTGTGTTGCTGTGGTTTTTAGTGGTTTTACAAGATGCATGTTTTATTCTTGAGGGTTTGGGGTTTTTTTAAGTCTTTTGAGGGAAGTAACTTCTTATTTCTTTATCTTTAATTCTATTTATTTTCTCGTAGATCTTCTCTGTATTAGTGTCTATTTTATTACTATATTAAAAAAATCATGTAAGAAACATTGCCTCTGTTTTACTGCTTTGCCAACTACTGATACGTTGTTGACCAGTGTTCTCCTAAATGTTCACCTTGCTTTACATCTTATGGGTAATCACCTGAACACTTCTGTTACCCTGTAACTTGTGCATGGATCAATATAAAGCATCTATTGTGTTTTCTTTAACAGTTATTTCTGAGAAGTGGAGAGGGATCTGTGGAGTTCAAAAAGCCCCCACTAAACTCTAGTTTGATGCATATTAGAAGTAAAGCTATGTTGTTTCAGAATGGGCCTTGAAAGGAGGAAATTCAATAGGGAGCCATCTTACTTTCCAAAATTTAAACTGTGAAAGATCAGCTCGGAGGCTTTTTGTTAACTTTGAACTTTCTTAAAATTGACCCGTTCATAATGTGTTTCAGTTTCTGCTGTATGCTTTTTCCTGGAATCAGTCCTTGAAAACTACCCCTTTGAAGCATTTTTGTTTCTCCCTTTTAAGAAATAGTTCTGGTTTTCTTTTGCTAACTGATACGTGAAACTAATAAAATACTACATGGGTGCTGAATGTGCAAAGTACAACTTTGCATTTGTGAGGCTATCACCATCCTGGGTCAGTCTTTTTGGTAGGCCTGTATGCGTGATTGCAGAACACGGGTTTCACTGCATATCCAGATTTCACTCCCTGCTTGGCTGGTTCTTCAGTAAGCTCTTGCTCTGTTTAAGAACCAAATGTAATTATTTGGCTTGTTGCTTAAAGCAGCACTTCTTTCCCAAAAGAGGTTTTGTGGATCTTAAGGTCCTTTCCAACCCTAACTATTCTATGATTCTATGATTCTATTTGACCATTCTGAAACGTGTTTACTGCTCTGTTCATAGAGGGTTTGATTCAGTAGTATGTAATTCTCTAATTCTTTGCTGAGGTGAATGTAGAGATAAATAAAAATGAACATTGAATTTTACTAATGAAATAAAGACTTTTTTTTGCTATATTGCTTATTCCCTTTTATTGCAGATGTCTGTCTGACTTTCAGTTCATACTCCCTTGGTTTCAGTCAGATATTTCTATTCTTTTCAGTATTTTAGTGGTGTTTAAAAGAAACTTTCACTCAAAATTGTGGGGTTCAGCATTGTATTCAATACTGTAATTGCTGTTACCTCTTTGGACTGTCTCGTAGCCTAGCTCTGTCCTTGGGTACATTTCTTAACTACTTTCATTACATCAAACTTTCCTTGAAAAATCCTCAAATGAAGTTATATTACATTATGATGGAGTGGTATCAATGCTTAAGTCAGATCAGTTTTAACATGTTATTACGTAGAGTCACCATAAAGCATTTGTGTTTCAAAGTCTTTTGGAACTATTGGAACAACCCTTCCAGAACTTGGAGCTGGTCACTACATTCCTGCTGAGCTTTGCTTTTCAAATGGAAAATGCTGTCATTACTGTCCCTACTGCTCTGTTTCACTGGTTTAAGACATAGTACAATGTTAAGGCTTTGTGCGCTGTGACTTTGATATGTGCCAGCAAGGTACCAGCATCCAAGACATTCGCAAAGTTTCTCCAGAGAATTTGCCAATGACTGCAGGTGTTGGAGATTTCAGCTGGCAAAATGATACTGATTTGTGAAAGCTTCTGTGAGATGGCTTTATGCTCAGAGTAAATCTTTCTTTCCTCTGCCTTTGTGGAATATCCACAGCGAACAAGCAAGGCAGGCCATAACAGCGGTAAAAAAGGAACAGATATCCTCAACTTGCTTTCAGTTTCTCAAGCTATGAGGTTGCTTATTTTCCACAGGCACATGTGGCAATTTGAGTTGTTGGGGACTTGGAACAAGAAATTTCCCTTTTGTGTGTCTGTATATATATGTATATATATATAAAAAAAAGGATTTTCAAGCTCTAGTTTTGTTGAAGTAAAGAGTAGTTTGGGGTATCCTCTATTTATTCCATTGTGCTATAGGCTTGATATTTCAATTATGACTTTATGCTTTCGGGTAGATACTATCTGACCAAACCAAATAAACTGGCACCTATTTACGTCAAATGGGGAAATGCCCAAGCCAGTGCTTCTTGAAGAGTAGTTGTCCTGTTCAGTGCTTCCTTTCTTTTCTTTCTCCTCTACAGACAAGGAGAATGTGTGCAGGCATGTATTGGAGCAAAATAAGAATTACTGCATTGTATGAGACATTAATAACTTTCTGCCCGTATCCTCTTGTTTTGCCTCTCCCTTGCTGACCATCTGCAACACAGAAATGTGTTACACATCAAAATACTTAGCTGTTTCAACCCAGAAACTTACTATGCAATACTTCAGTTGCATCTCACTTCTCAATGTATAGAAAATTGAATTCACAAGGGTGGAGTAACATTATTTTCTGTTACACACTCTCTTTGCTGTTCCCATTTAGCTATCAGTGCAGAACTTACAATGATGTTTTAAAACCAAATTCAGGTTGCTGAAAACCCCACCTGTCCCGGGAAAGAAGTCATGTTTCCAAGGCTCCGTTATTTTGACTGAAAACACTACAATGATAGTTATCTTTGAAATTGTATTACGTCAGCTGGCCTAACAATGTTTTGCCATTTGGGCCAGAGTAGACTGAAATAAGAGAATTACTAAACTTATCTTTTCTATGGGAACACTCGTAAGTTTTCCATGGTCCTAATCTTGAAGCCTGCTCTGGTTACAAGGAATATGTCGTGACTTTTTATTTTTCATTCCCTCCAGGTTTACAGGAACAGACGGACCAAGTGGTTTCGGATTTGAGCTGACGTTTCGCCTAAAGAGAGAAACGGGGGAGTCAGCACCACCTACTTGGCCAGCAGAGTTAATGCAAGGCTTAGCCAGATACGTCTTCCAGTCAGGTACTGCAGGGTTAAGTATGCTGCCTCACTTTTTTCCTGCCCTTGTTCTTAAGGGCAGCATCTGTTACGTGGTGCAACACTTGTCTCATCAGCGCTCTATCAAATCTTGGGCATTACCTTTGTCTGAGAACCCACGAGTGTGTTCCTTCCATCAGCCCAGCTTGCTGGGGACAAAACCCAACTGCTGTTCAGGTAACACCAAATCCATAGCACTGAAAAGCTGAAGATACAGAACAGTTAGTAACCATAGGAAGCCTGCCCAGTGACTCTTTGTTGATCTTTTGTGTTGTTGGTTTCACCTTCTCTCAGTAAGGAAAGCTTATAGTGAAATGGCTGAGAAGCACCCACCTTGATAAGGTTGCACTTCTCAGCCTAACGGCTGAGAATAACTTCAGAAAAAGTTGCAGTTCATTCACAGGCAAGTATGTTCTTATTGTCTCTGCAGTTGAGCAGCAGCAACATGTGTAAACAAGAAGTTGCTGGGATGAGAAAATGGCATAAGGGATGCCAAGGCTGGGAGGGCTAGGGAATTAACAATTGGGAATCATTAATGCTGATGGAGACATGCCAGAAAACTGAGAACCAGGGAACCTAGAAAACATCCTCTTGCATCTACCCTTTCTGGGTTTCGTCCACACCAGTAGATTGAATATTAGTTCTAGTCTGAGCACGTGCAGACCCAGAGAATGGTTGAGTGCATTGGAAAGCACTCTCCAGAATCGCAAGATATGAATGAAAATATTTGAAGAACTTTCTTTTAACCTAGTTTGAGGTCCTTTACAGGTAAAGTACCTTCCAAATCAATGATTATTGAATTTAAAACATTTGGTGCTTATTCTACTAGTTAATAAATTGGTCAGTAACTCCTGATTCTGTTGCTGGTTAAAACCAGGATTGCTCTGCTGACCTCAGTGACAAATCTCTGAGGCAGTGGCGACTCATGTGGGTTTGTTTTGTTTTGTTTTCCTAAATATTGACAGCACAGGTTATTGCTTCTCATCATACTGGGAGTGTCTCTTGTTGCAGTTTAAAACGACCCAAGCATATTTTTATAACCTTTGCTGTGTAGCTGTCTCCGCTGGTTGACATCCAAATTTGGGCTCACCTTTCTGTCTTGATTTTTGCTGCCCTTAAGTGTCTGAATCCGAGTAAATATAGTAATTTTTGCTGTTGTTTGAGGTTCCCATCCTGCCCAAATTGTATTGTGTAGTAGCTTTTTGATACTGACCATGCAGTGATGAATTCATACTTACATTTTCTATGTTTTTGCTACAAGGTCTGAAGAAAAAAATCTGAATCTAAAGTCTCCCTTTTACATACTAGATACTTACATACTTATTATTTAGATATTTATCTTATGTATTACACCCCTTTTAAAATTTTCTGCTCCAATGTAGATTCTCATAACAGTCTTTTAACAGAGTAGTTTCAGTGCCTTCTATTAGCATGTTAAGCAGCCTCCCATGCTTATTTTTCTTGCCCTTTTCGTGGGTGAGAGAAAGTCTGCAGAGTAAAATGGGATTTGGTAGGCTACTTTAGGACAAACTTCTCTGTGACTAAGTTGGCACTCAGGGCAGAGACTTTCCTTGTTTGGCTCCTGCACTAATGCAGTCTCGTGTTTCTGAACTCAAAGCTAATGAATTGTTTTTAGACTGGAAAGGGTGGTTGTGCCCATGCATCAGTCTGACATGAACTTTTAAGGGCCTCCGGTATTATCCATGCTGCTTTTGACTTTCTGTCCACCATGACTCCTTAAAGGCACTGCTCAAATATATGTTAATGGATTCTAGCCTCTGGGTGCTTAGCTCTCAATTTACATTGTTTAAAAACCCAGTGTATGAACCATAAATTGACTTCTTTCTTTGAATATGAAATTAAGCAACAAGCCAACTGAACACTCATCATGCAATAGGCAACCCATGTGCTGGGTTGTCTTAGGAAGAGCATGACCAGGAGACTGAGGGGAGTTATTACCTGTTTGGCAATGCACTGGGGATGCTTCACCTAAAACACTGGGTCTTGGTTTGGGCCTTCTGGCTTAAGAGATGCTGAAAAACTGGAGAGTGTCCCGGGCAGTCAGGGCCCTAGGGCATGTGAGCTATGAAGAGAGCTGAGGGAGCAGGGCAGGGTTAGCCTGTGAAGAGAGGGTGCAGAGTGATCCGACAGGAGCGTACAACTATTGAAAGGATAGTTACAGGACTGGGGTCAAGCCCTACGTAATACAACAAGGGGCTACAGCTCTGAACTGTAGTATGGGAGGTTCTGGAAGGTCTTCAGGAAAAACTTGCTCACAAGGAGGGTGGTAAAGGACAGGTAATGATTTATGAGAGGTGGTGGATCTCTATTCCTTAAAAGGTTCAGGACTTAGCTCCACAAAGCTACAACAGTCCTGATCATCATTGGTGATGGCTCCACTTAAATAGGAGGCTGGACGAGAGACTCCCAGAGGCCCCTTAGATGTTACCAGAAGAGTTGGATTTTTTGTTTTGTTTTTTCTCCATGCAGCTTCGTGCCCTTCAGCAAGCAGCTGTGTGCTGTCACTGAGTATTACCAACCATTCCTTGCCCTGTATAGAAGGAAACCATATGATGTTGCAGCAAGTGAACAAGTTCTAGTTTTATTTTAGTACAAATTTATTTATTGCTCGTCTCCTTTGGATATGAACTTTCTCAGACTAAAATCTTCTGGCTAATCATAGACACCAGGTTAATCCCAAGAAGATGATGTAAGTAAGCCTTACTTGGAAGATGATGTAAAAGTAAGCCTTGTAATGGGATAGACTATCATGTTTCTTGATCTCTCAGGGCAATGCTTGTTGACAATACCTAGATGTAGGCATCTTCTGTTTAGTGTAGGCTTGCTCACTCTATTGCTTTGCACAGTCCCCAGTCCTTCTACATCTGACGTATCTCACTGCTTTGCTTATGAGCTGCTGCCTCTCAGGCTGGCAGTTCCCAGAGCAGTTCCTATGTTCTTCTTTACATCACCCCTGAGTAATCAGGCACCCACTGCTCTGCATTGTTGGGGTTTTTCTGCCTAACAGGATTTCCCTCAGTATAATGTGGTCACTCTGCAAAGCCAGGTGTCTTTTTTCCTTGGTCTTTTACAGGACTTTTCTAGTCAGATGTTAAAACTGGGAAGTATCTGAAGGGGTGGTTTTCCTGAAGCCCATCGGGTAGTAGGCAGGCTGGGGTACAACAGCATTGTTTCACATGACAAAAGGTTTCTTTTTTGCTCGAGTTCTTTCTGTCTGCGCCACTCGGAGCATTTATCAGATGCAGCAATGGTGGTGTTTGACTCTGGTGTATGTACCTGAAAGTTGTCCTCTTCTTTCTTTTCTTTTTTCTTTTTTGTTTTTGTGGGTTGTTTTGGTTGGTTGGTTGGTTTATTTTGTTGGGTATTTTTTGGAGGGGGGGGTTGGTGTTTTTTGGTTGGGGGTTTTTTGTTTTGTTTTTTTTTTTAACCCAACTTTTTAGTCTCTTTGATACTCCAAAGTAGCCTCAAAAACATTTGATGAGCCGAACCAACTTAAGTAATGCCTATGAATCCTCTCTGAACAAGAGGCAAGAAAAAATAAACTGGTAGGAGCTTTTTGGGTAGGCTCCAAGCACTTCCACATGTCAAAAGATAGCTTACTTTGAAAGCTATGCTAAGAGCTAAATTCTTATCTCTTGAATAACCAGCCAACTTTTAGGTTATCATAGATGTGCTTTGTTGGGTCGGGTTGAAGCTGGGGGAGAGTAAGGTGTAGTTATAGTCCTGCTGAACCTGAGCATTTTCAGATGGTGATGACTGAGTTGAAAACTCACCTAGCAGCTACTGCTGTCCCAAATATTATTACTTTATATTGCAGTTGCAAAGCATGTCTCATTGCAGTTGATGTATTTTTGTAACAAACACTTCTAGGCAAATGAATGTCATGTTCCTTTGTTCCTGTCTCTCCTGCACTCTGGCTGTGATTTAGAAAAGCAGCCTTCTGCATTGAATTTCAGCCCTCTTTGAGCCTTGGCTTCCCTGTTCACTGTTACAAACACTTGGTGCTTTGTGCTTTTGATTAAATGGCACTACTTCCCCTCCTTCAACAAACCAAGCTTGAGAATCTCAAACATTTTATTTGTGGCTTTATCTGTTCTTTATTTTATCACTGTTTGACCACGACCACGCATTCCAGCTCTGTTATTTTTAGTTTTAAAAACCCCCAAACCTTGAATCGGTGACCTTAGCTTGTCATGGTTCACGGGTATACTGGGAATATCTCATGGTAGAACAAATTTATACTTCAAACAGACAGGAAGAAATGCTCTTCCTACAAAAAGCGTATCTTGGGCTTATTGCAACTCTTAACTCTTTACCTACTGCAATATGACAACACGTAATCAGTATAGAGAGGCTGTGATTTGTGTTTTCCTGAAATCAAAATCTGCATTGTTTCTATGTTATTTTTATAGGCGCATCTGATATGTATATCATAAGGGCAATACATTAATGTTGCATGGAAACAAATATGTTGTGTGCATGAGTTCTTGCTGCTTCTGTGTTTCTTGGCCTGAAAGAAAACAGCTGCAGCCGTAAGGTACAGGTTTGGGGAAACTGTCAGGAAAAACCCATCATGTTAATGGTATAGTATATGTCATGGTTATATTCTCTGCAGTGCATGATTGTAGTGGGGAGCTAGTTAGTGAAACTATATTCAGAAGTACTAAAATGTCCCTGAATTAGAGGTATACAGGTTGGCTAAGCTTGATAACATTTATCCTGGCACATGTCTGCTTGAGCAGTTTGAGCCCTACTGTTACAGGGGGAGCAGGTAGCTTTACGGGAGGCTGGAAAATGGCAAATGCTGTTCTTCACTTTCAGCCACACAAAAAAAACCCAAACAAACAACAAAACCAGAACAAACCCCAAAAATGCAAAACCCTGAGGTTTCTAATTGGTCTCCCAGACTTTAGATCTTAAGAAACAGTTAAGAAAAACAAACCATCTAGCAGGCATTCAGGGAA